GGTATTACAGAAATCGTACATATGAATGTGCTGCTTGCTCCCCTATATAATGCAGCGACTATAGACAGGTAGGTAATGCAGACGTGACACTTGCGTGGTTCCAGTGACTGCACATGCACTCCCCATTGGTGGAAGGAGCCAACAGCCATCATTTACAATTCCACGCACTGCCAGTGTGGGCCACCGAAGATCCACCTGACTGTAGCAACCACCAGGCAGAGGCAGCTATTTGAGGTTAGCTGCTCATTGCAGGCAAGTCGTGCTTCATAGTCATTGAGCAGTCTCTCTGTTTAGTTCGTTGCCCAGCGATCACAGGGTTTGCTCGTAGGTCTTGCAACCGATGGCTTAGCGTAATGGTGTATTTTTGAATGCGTACACCTGTGTTTTGTTGTGCAAGGAAATCATCATGGTTTTGCTGAATATCCACACAGGTATACTCGTGCATTGCAAGGAATTTAAGCTGTATGTATATATATAGCTCTGGGCTCTATTCGAGATAATTAATGCAACTGGAACGGGCAGTTGGCTTGTTACTGTTATTCAGTTCAGTGCAGTTCAATTCGTGCTATGACTGGCAGTTTAGCAGGGCTTTAGAGACTGTAACCAAGTGGCGAACTCAGGTTTAGTTATTCGTGTAATGCTACAAATCATGTTTATGAGTAGAGTTTTGATGCGAAACTGGGTTTACGTGTCTAGAATATGCAGGATGTATCTAGCCGATGGTCTTTAAGCGTTAATGCATATATATACATTTATACATAACAAATTCACCAGTCATTGCAATAACGATTGTAAATGCATCAACAACCATGCATACACAGGCGGATGTCTCAAGTACATGTGTATGACAGACAAATAAATTTACTGCTTGTTAAAAACCCACAGCCACTGAAGTGTGGTTGTTGTTGTTGTTGTTGTTGTTGTTGTTGCAATGCTGTTGTTGTTGCAATGCTGTTGTTGTTGTTGTTGTTGCAATGCTGTTGTTGTTGTTGTTGTTGCAATGCTGTTGTTGTTGTTGTTGTTGTTGTTGTTGTTGTTGTTGTTGTTGTTGTTGTTGTTGTTATAGTATAATTCAGTTTCATGTTTTTTACTGTACGAGGGTGATAGCACATCTATAGTATTGCTAAATACGACCTAGCGTAGAGATAATGTTAAACTTAGGGTTAGCCTTAGGTTCATGGTAATGGTTAGGGTTAGGTTAAACAAATAATTATGTTATGGTCATGCCCATGGTTAGGTTACAGTTAGGTAAGGGGTTGGATAAGGGTAAGGGTTATGGTATGGTTTAAGCTAGGGTAAAGGTTTGAGTTACATGGTGTGGTTTGAGTTATGGTATGGTTTGAGTTAGGTTAAGGGTCATGGCATTGTTTGGGTTAGGGTAAGGGTTATGGTATTGTTTGAGTTAGGGTAAAGGTTATCATATGGTTTGAGTTAGGGTAGGGGTTATCGTATGGTTTGAGGCAGGGTAATAAGGGGTATGGTATCGTTTGAGATAGGGTAGGGGTTATCGTATGGTTTGAGTTAGGGCAGGGGTTATCGTATGG